ATCACTATTTACCGATCAACCGTTGACTTGAGAATTCCACTCATGCTCACTGTAGGGTATCTTCTCGTCGGGCAATTTTAGCTTATTTGCATCTTTGATGTTTTAGCACAAAACAAAAACGCGTTGGGCCGCCTGAGACGAAATCTTGGACTGAGACCCAGACTGAGAGTGGAAACAATGTTGGCAATAGTTAGCTACGGCAATAGCACCGGCCCTGTTGGCGCCCGTCCATTGTCTTTTTGCGGCTCTTCGATTATAATGATGTGACGCCAATGGATGATGCAACAATCCCAGGCCCTGGCGGACGTAATCGACAAACAGCTAAGCAACTCGCCAGCGCGCCGGCAACGCCAAGCAACAACTAAGCAACTTTGCTTAATTTGTTTACCCCCGATGCGGTTGATGCGACGCGTCGCTTCCTTTTTGGGCTTTTTGCTCAATTTCAGTTTCAATTTCAATTTGAGTTTCTTTAGCGTTATCTGCAGCCCGCTTCGTGCCTTATACAAAACATCATCCATACTTTATGATGTTGCCTCCATACACTTGCCGCACCAAATGCCAAACGACTTGTATAAGCAAATGTCATTTCCACTTCCAATTGAAAGCCAGTTGACTTTTTGCACAGTTTAGCTGTGAGTTAATGAACTAAACTGCGCCATAAGCGATACGAAAGAAAAGCCAGTTTATACCCTTGCAGAGCTGTGCTTCAGTTGCTCACGTAATGCCATAAAAGTCTCGCCATTCAGTTCCTGTAGTTATCGACGTTTGCTACTTGTTCACGATATGGAATAACTCATATTGGTTTTATAGAATGTCCATCTGAATTGACTTGAAAGCCTTGGAACATATACTGTCTCCCTTTTTATATAGATAATTGCAGTATGAAGCAAATTACCAAACCCTCTAATAATAAATATAGACCTTCTTATATAAACTTATTTAATATTTAATAATTAAATTCTTATATGAACTATAGTTCAAGTGAAGAATAAATATTCTTATTTATAAATATTTTAACTTCGATGCACTTCGAAAGCCTTCATTAAAAAAATATATTATAAATTAAATATTAATTTTTTAATAATTTAAATATGAATGTCTGAAAATATATATATTTTTTTAAATAATTTTTATATATTTATTATACAAACTCTGCTGCGTGTGTTTAATGTACTGACATTTATGTAATACAAATTTGTTGAATAATTTTTATGTGTATTTATATACACACTCATAACATAAATTATATTGCTTAAATGCTAAGGCTTGTGTATGAATTTATATGATAAACATATATAAAAAATAAATAAATTTTTAAAATAAATATATGTATATTAAGACATGCGTATATTTAATGACATAAGAAGACATTTACAATAATTAACAGTAAATTTGCTACTGCAACGCATCAACCACATTTAGTACAGGCCATTCGTTTTGAGCCACTCTAAATCCACCTGCCCATCCTTTCGTTTCAATTAAAATATTGCAAATATATTTTGTTAGCTTCAAGCTGTCAATAAATTATCAAAGGCAATTAAATATATGGAATATTTTCTGGTCTGTCGCTCGCTGTCGTATACGTAATTACGTATACGCCGTGCAGAGCGCATAGCAATCGCGCTCGCTTTTGAGGTCTGTTATGACTGTCATCCTTGACAAATTTGTTGTTTGATTTAATTAGCACTTGACTTTTAATTAGTGCAAATGTGTCAATGTTGTTGTTGTTGTTGTTGTTGTTGTCGCTGTTGTTGTAGTTTCTTGTGCTTTGTTGTCATAGGTTTGAAAGAAAGCGTGACTTGTGCTTTCAATGCACTCAAACAATAAAATGAGTTGCCCAAAATCGAATAAGTTTCGCCCACAAATTTCATAATCAAATTTCGTAAGTTTTTATTTTCTGTTTTATTCATTTTTTTTTTATATGAATAGCTTTGGCTATGCGCTATGTGAATTGGGCCCTGCCCCGCAGCCTTGTGCGGCTTGATCAGATGCAAAGAATTCTGTTAACTGGCACACAGTGGGCGTGGCATGCAGCGGCTTTGGGGCGTGGCTGGCACAGAGAGCGAGGCAGTTGTGCATGATTTTGTCTCTTTTATCTAGTTTATTATTTTTTCTGGCTCGATTTGAATTATTTTCGTTGGTTTTGTTTTTCATATTTTACCCACGCTGGGCAAAACAAAAGACTTAGGAAACGAACTTGCCCCCAAGACAAGTGACGCAAAAAGATAAAATGTGGTACAGCAGTCGCAGCAGCCGCAGCAGCAACAACAACTACGAAATGTGAATAGGAACAAAATGCTGCGGCGAATTAGTTGCATGTTTGCTCGACTTTTTGTTGCAGTCATTGCTGATGCTGTTGTTGCTGCTGTTGTTGTTGACTCAATTGCCGCTGCTGTTGTTGTTGCAGAACAAACCGCTCATTAGACGCATTAAATGCAACTGTGCATGTTGTTGTTGTTGTTGTTGTTTCTGTGGCTCGCTACGTAATTACCCGACAACGCGCAACTTTAATGTTGACACAAATTCTTCACGCACACAGACACACACACACATATATATACCTATGCATATGCACACTCTTGATATCTTTCACATCGCATGAGCATGCATATGTCTAAGGTGAGGGCTATTCAGAACTCGTTTTTGCTTGTCAAATATTTGATATAACTGCAAATAATGCCATTTGCTTAGCTGTTCTGGCTCTGGGTCCTTACTCTGTTCGAGGAGCTAGCTAGCTGTTGTTGGCATCAAACTGGAGTTTACATAATCTTCAGCTTTATAATAGACCTGAACGTGACTCGTTGGAAATCTAATTTGAAACTCAGCTATCCACAACTGGCGCATGCAAGTCTCAATATGGAGCTGGAATTTCAACCATCATCTTTTTTGAAGACGTATGGACCGATGATTCTCCCAGCTCAAAAAGAGTTATTTTCTGTAGATGATGTTTCGATGAAAGCATATGTATTATCCTCCATTCAAATGCAACAATTCTGATTATTAATGTCTCCATTCAACTTAAATAATGCTTTTTATATTATAGATACCATAAAACAAACGAACAGAATTATTATTTTGAATCCATTTTTATGGAAAAGTGAAATTAAATTCATCAATTTAAAAAGTAAGATTTATTAAATCGGCTTTCCAAAGCTTTAGAAAGATTTTTTAGGCATGAACATACATACACATATGTATATACGAAGACCGTATACCCGCCTTCTACGTACTCAATGACTCTGACCCTCAGCGATAAGAATATATAAGAGACAAATGAGGCTTATAAACGCTGCGATAGATACACTAGATATATATATAACCCGAGTCTGGTTATAAAAACCCGTACTCAAAAGTCAAGTGTATACGTTGAATGATCTTCAGCTACATATCATTAGGTCGACTATTAGGTAATATCGTTTGATGACAACAGCTGATCTTATGATATTTAAACAGCTAATATAGTAATACTTGTCTGTTAAAAATGATGTTAAACTTTTTGAAATGCTGTTGCCTTGTTGCCCTATCGAAGATGAAAGATCGACAACAGCATATTTGAAATATTTTGTTACTGTTTTGCTAGCGAAAGGGGAAAATGCAGTTAAAGTAGGGCGAATATTATGTGATGCATACGAATAAGATGTTTCGACCGATTTATATACTTACATATATGTATACATACATACATACATACATAGATACATACATACATACATATGTGCAGTCTTAGGTTTATCTTCTATCCACATATCTCATCACATAGCAATACACCCAATATATGCTCAATTCCCTTAAAGTTGGCTAATTACTTTTTATCCAAATATCATGCATAACATATAGTTTTTATGCACATTTCCTACAATTTGGCCTACAAGCTGCAGCGGCTGATGTTAACAGATCTCACATCAGAATTGTTTCTCAGCTAATTAGCTGGCTCTGTGAGCAGCTCTCCCATTTACAGCTACAGCTAACTAGGTAACTGGCTAGGCCCAACCAACATACATGTGTGTGTATGTATGTATGTATGTATGTTAGCTGCATGCATGTATTGTGAGACTGTGTCAAATTGTTGCTGTTGCGGTTGCTGTTGTTGTTGTTGCTGCTGTTGCTGCTGCTGGTGCGGGTGTGGGAAAAGCTGAGGAAAAGTGCAGCATCTTTTGGCTCGACTTGGCATTGTCTGATATCTAAAAACTATTTGCCATGACATGAGAATTAGGCGCAAAAGCGCAGTCAAGTCGGAAGAGAGCTTGTGTGCTAGATATGCCTGCTAGTTAGTGTCTGACATTGTTGTTGTTGTTGTTGTTGTTGTTGTTGTTGTTGCTGCTATTGTTGTTGTCTTTGTCTTTTTCTATTGGGGTAACGTTCATCACGTTTGTCGATGCAATTTCACAGATAACTGTTTCTTCATGTTTGCCACTCGTGCGGTTGCATAATCCAGCAGCACCACCAGCACCACCACCAGCACCGCCAGACCAGCCAAAAACAATGCAAGCGCTTTAAAATGCCGCAATTATCCAGCTACAACGACAATTGAAACTTTTTCGGCCAACTGCTTCTTTGGCTGCTTCCTCGCAAGCTGCCAGCCTCCGACTGCCAGAAGCCGTTTGCTGTTGCTGTTGTTGTTGTTGTTGGGGCTGTGGCAGTCAGAATATAATTGTTGTCGGTTTGTTTATTTTTGTAGACAAGTTTTTCATATTATTTGTGATTTAGTTATCTTTTTTTTTTTTAGCAGAAATATTTTCTGTGCCGTGGGCCGCTTTGGCATTTGCAATCGCATTTTTAGTTTATTTTTTCCCCCTCTTTTTTTTTTTTTTTTTTTTGGAGCTTGTTATGACATTTTTGTGTCTTTGTTTTGTTTGTTTGTTTATTTGTTGTTGTGTGGCATTTGAATGATTGCCTGACATTTTGTCACTGCCAGATCTAGAGATATGCTGCCAAGAATTGCTCACATTTATCAAATGTTAATTGTTTATTTTATTTGCCTTCTTCTTCTTCTTTTGCAGATCTGTTACAGTTCGCTTGAGAGCTTGAGAGCATGTAAGTTAATGAAGCTATTTATTTTTGGTATTTTATTGTGATTTAATAATGTTATACAACAAAGCTGATATTTTATAAATAAAACTCTTGATCAAACTGATTTGCTTTCCGCTGCAAAATTTATTATTTATTATGAATTTTCAAGTAGTAAAAGCTCGCAGCTATTCAATAAATCTTAGTTAAGAATCTGTTATTTGGCTCTACATAGAAAATAATGAATGAGGTTTTGTTGCACTTTCTTCGCTTGTGTTTCCCCATTCTTCAGTCTATTGTAGAGAGAAAAACACATATTGCATAACAAAGGCTAGGCAAACTCTTCTCACTTTCCCAACAATAATAATATTAATAATTCAAAAGAAATGTTTGAAATGTTTTGAAAATGTCATGCAGCAGATGGGAAAAATTTGTTTAAATATTTAATGCAATTTGATATTTAAATGCATTTTGAATAATATTATGTTGTGTTGTGTTTGTTGTGTTGTGTTGTATGCCATTGTCATGTTGCCTGCCTTTGGATAGTTTCACATGATTTTCCAAAATGCATTTGACAAATGCAGCAACAGCAACAACAGCAACAACAACAACAACAACAAATGGTAATAAAATAAAAAGCAACACAAAAGCCACATTGAAATGACATACAAAATATTCGGGCGCTAATTTGTTGGGGCAACAATGCAACAACAGTTGCGCATAGAAAGCTAATGTTAATGAACTATTTTTGTAAGACAACAACAGCGACAACAACATCAATGGCAGCAAATGGCTGCAAATGTGCGCTAAATGATAATCAAAAATAAAAAAAAAAACACGAAAACACACAAAAAAAAAATAATCACCTAAAATGCAAACTAAGAGCAGCAACAACAAATAAACAATAAACAAAAATCACGTTGTGCATTCAAATTGAAGTTCAGTTTAGCAAGAAAATATTGTGTTAGGCAGCGCAGCAAGCAACAGGTGGTCATCAGGGGCAGAGGAGGCGGTGTGGGCGTCTCTTGATGTCGCGTCAAGTGGCCACTTGGCAATCACAACAAGCAAACAAACAGGCAGACAGACAGGCAGACAGACAGGCAGACAGACAGACAGACAAGCAGACAGACAAATAAAGCGGCTTGCACAATGCACAATTTAGGCATAGTTTTTAAATGTTTTGCTCAAATCACATGCCCGGCAAGCGGTGAGCAGCAAAAGGGCATATTAGCTGGGCCAAGCCATTGAGGAGAAGTCTGAGTTATCAGCTGTTATGGTTTTGGCTATGCTAGAACAAACAGTGCTATTCCATCTCAAGTGTTTAACCTGTTCTGCCATGCCTAACAATAATCTATATCTCTGTGGTTCCGCATTGAAACCAGCTCAAAACAAAACAAAACAAACCACAACAGCAACTAAATAGGACTTACTTATGATAGAACTGGTTCACAGGCATTTCCCCAAGTATTTCAGAGCTAATAACTTATAACGATTTAGCACACGCGATAAGGCAATTTAACATATTGACAGTTATAGTCCTGATCTACATATTAGCAGTAAACATGGAGAAAGAGAGGGACAGAGAGAGAGAGAGAGAGAGGGAGAGAGAGAGAGAGTGACGCAAAACTGGTTCAAATAGCATTTGCAATTAATCACTGGAATCAAACGAGATTTGTGACAGTAAAAGTTATAAATAGCTGAAAGTGCCTAATAAATTGTCTATAATTTGGTATATATTTAACTAGACGCAATCAATTAATCAGTATATAAATAAATAATAGAAAAATGAATAAATAAATATAATTTTGTAAGAAATTAAAAATGTTATAGATTACGGTAAAAATCATATATGCTAGCATGTCTATATGGACATCTCTCTCAATACAATATTTAAATAGGTCTACAGTTTTCTAGAAGTAGGTATACGAAGTACTCTCTATGATCTGCCCTACCAGAATTATATTCCATTTATATTATTTAGTTCACATTTATGATAGAGTATCCACACGCACACATTCACATCAGACAGCAATGGGAGCTACTCTTGAAAATCAACTCCTTGTAACAGCACTCTTCAAGTCTCGAATAGTTACACTTGCAGCCCAATTAAAAGCTGTCGAAATGGTCGGACATATGCAAAGAGCATACCATTTTCGAGCCACTCAAACTTAGCTTTCCACTCATGTCGCTACTCAATTGCATTTTAACCTTCAACATTTCTCAATGAAATTTCAGCAGAGACAAAGCGACAGAGAGAGAGAGAGAGAGTGAGAGCGAGAGAGCAGCAACTTGTCTGCATGTGGATGGCATTTGTGATTGACATCGCTGGCTGAATGTCTGTTAAATTTTGTCGCCGCTGCTCAGCATGCATAGATAGCCTAGCCGAGAGAAGGAGAAGGAGGAGCCGCATGACATGAGAGTTTTGTTTTGTGCCAATGCCAGGCGTTCGGTGAAAGTTGTTAGCCCCTGTCATTTCGGGGCTCGTTGAATGTTTAATTGCTCATCGCGCTTGCCAAACCTCTTTGGTATTGACCTTTTGGGCCACGTCCTTCAGCGATATGTGCCAGCTGAATTGGTCAGGTGTTTGGCTGCTTCACTTGCCACCACTTCAGTTGGCCGACTTGGCTGTCTGTCTGTCTGTCTGTCTATCTGGCTGACTTGCTGAGTTGCGCTTCTTTTCTCTTCTCTAGCTGCGCTGCGGTGTGGCTGTCGCCTTTCTCCTGCCACTTTTGCATGACACTTTGGTAATTTTTTCGATAGGTTTCGCTGCCATTTTTGGCTTGGTTATGCGAGCAGTCGAAATTAACTGTCTGCCAGGTAGCCCACATGCTGCATGCTCGCCTCGACTGCAATTGGCGTCGACTTTCATTGATTTGCTGGCTGACAAAAACAAAACAAAACAAAAAAAAAAACTGTTTATACATATGTGTGGAAAAATAAACAAACGTGGCCCGAAAGAAAAATACTGCTGAAAACTGAAAACTTATCGAGACAATTTCACTTTTCATTGTCTTGTTGGCTGGTTGGCTGGTTGTGTGTGTGTGTGTTTTTTTTTTCTTGTCTTGGCTGCGATAGTCTGCCTGTATCTTCAGCTCAACCCCTTGCGGATCGTGCCAAAGCAGTTCAGCTAGCTTTGCATGCCAGCAGCAAGTTTGTTGCCTAAGTCTTTTGTTTCATTGTGCGCACAGTGTCCTGCCTCGCTCGCAACGGCCGCAGCGTCTGCTGCCACTTAGAAAGTTGCCGAGACGCGCTCCTAATTGGCCAAAATGTAAATATCGCAGCCACAAATCAAAGTCAAAGTCCTAGGCATACGAAAGCCCATTAGCTGTGCACGCAAGTGTGTGTGTGTGTGAGTGTTTATTTCTCTCTCCCTCTCTCCTGTTTCCCATTTAAGTGTCAATTCACCCATTTTCAGCTGCTCTAGCATTAGCATATTCATTTCTTTTTGTAAATAGAACATAGTTGTGGCTTATATAACTCAACATACACAAACAACTGTTCGTTTAATGTATTTATTCTGTTCCAAAGATCCAAGCGATAAGATCGAAGTTTCAACTGGCGATTGGCGACTCTCGAGCAATCGATTTATTTATGTTAGCTTGGAACCTAACACTTCTCAAGCCCATTAATATAATTGTGCTACCAGTTAAGAGTTCAGATCTAGTTCAGAATAGACTTGATATAAATTGTTGAACTACATTTCAGATATATAAGAAATTAAATAGCAGAAAATATCTATAGATCTGCCTTTGAATATACATATATGAAATTATATTGTGATTAGGTTTAAAGCTATAGCAATAAATTTAATATTTTCAATTATGAGACTCAGATCAAATCCCGAAAGTTGTTCTAAAAACTTTCCATAGAACTATGTTTACAAAACAGTAATGAAGAACCTACACTAAGCTCATCTTACACATATGTAGATCTGCAATTTATTATATCGATAGATAAAGCCATAAATACATATATGTTATGTGATCGAGTTTAAGAAAAGTCTTTCTTTCTATTGACCATTTTCATGTGATATTTGACTTGGAGATGAGCTGGAAGTCGTTTATCGTAGGTGGTCTGAAACCGTACGATCACAACTATTATATAATAACTGATTTGTGATTATTGTATGCAAATAGAGCTCTATTGTTAGAAAAGCAGCTCTCAGTTAGGCCCAAGTCTGGGTAATAATTTAGGCATTTGAAGTTTTTGGAAAAGCTCTTGAAAGAACTTTCTCAGAAAACAAAGTGACTCGAGCTACAAATTTGAGGCGTGGGCGATGCGTCGTGACAGCTATGCGTACGTGTATGTGTGTGTGTGTGTACGAGCTCCATTTATGGCTGTTAGCTGATTTTACAGTTACTTCTGACCAAGCTCTAACGGCGCATGCAAATTGCGTGCATGACAACGACAAAAGCCAAAATGAAAATAAACCAAAACCCAAGTCAAAGAATAAACATCAATAAATATTGAGCCTGATTGATTGGAAAGGTACGCACACAGTTAACACGAGCCAAAGCAAAACAAACTAAATTGGAGAGTTTATTGTGAGGGTGTGCGGGGCAGGGGCAGCGGGCAGCGGGCAGCGGGCAGCAGGCCAGACAATTAACCTTGATTTGCAGTACATGCAATGGACAGAGACCAATAAATAAAACAAAGCCAAGCAATACACAGTAAACAGTTAAACAAAAAGCCATAGCGAGAGCAGCAACAACAACAACAACAACAACAACAGCAACAACAAAAGTCGTGCAAATGAAGTCATTTTCAAGTACAAACGCCTCAAATGAGGGCAAATAACAACAGCCATGGCATATGTGCCAAAATCTGAGACCATTCCCAATTCCATTTGAGACTGTGGTGAAGTGCGAGAGGAGGGGACAGGGCGAACGGAGCATGAGCTTTGATCGAGCAGGTGTTGCTCGCTAAAACAGCCGGAAATCGCCGGCCAGAGGCCAAAAAGATACTTTTCAGCTCTTAACAGTTTGTTGCACAATAAGTCAAAAGTTAAGACGCAAACCGGTTGTAAA